AAACAAGCTGAAAAATATAGTTTATAAAAGAAACGAACAGGACCATAATATAAAAAGAAAAAGAAAAACACACACGATGCTTTGCCTGCCTCCCGCAAAGTCCGCTGGGTGTGTTGCGAAGTCACGATCCTAATCCCCAACAGCCGCCGCCGCGCCGCTCTCGCTTCGTCTATGGTCTGCCTCACGAACTCGCGAGGCGCGATCTGGCGATCTCGTCCTGGCTGTGATTCTGCCCATTTCGTTCCTGGAAAAGAAGCCAGCGCGGATAGCGGTGCCTACCTTCTGCAGTTCTGGCCGGCTGGCCAACTGCTGTTGCCGGCGTCCTGGCCGTGAAAGCATTCAGCAGCTACCTGGACTACTGCTGTCACCGCTGTACTTGTAATTTGTAAAGTACGCAGACTCGCAAAGACTTTGAGAATTCAACAGACGACTTGCACAGGTTTTTGCCAGATTTAATTATTTTATAATTTATAATCTCTAAACATACATAATTAGTTACATTATTTTTTTAGAATTGTTCAAGAAAAGAAACGGAGATATTCGTCTTGTTCGCTTGACTTATAAGTCGTACTTTTTCAGCCAACGAACAATATTTTTCTCTCACAACAAATCAGCCAACACTACTTTCATCTATGGCTTATCAGTCAAACGAACAGGACAATTATCTCTTTTCTAGAAACATGCAGCCAAGAAGGCAGCGACGACTACTACTACCGCTTCAAATCATTGTAAATCACCTAAAAAAGTCAAATAACTAGCATTGTAAGTATTTTACTCTCTTTTATGCCTATAATTTTAACTATATCTTTATAGCGTTTGAACTATTTATATCATCACAATTTGTGAAATAGTTTCTGAATTCTGATTTAATCTTTGAATTTAAGACTTGTCATATTGTTTAGTAGATGTATGTATAATTATTTTACGGATTTGCAATTGTTTACAGATTTCGTAAATGGTATTACCAAATTGTATAAGAATTTTTTTTGTACGGCATACCCTACGATAAAAATCTAGATCCACCACCGGTGTACACCACTATGTGTATGTGTATTAGCATTTTCATAATCATTTTTCAAAGGATTAGCCACTCAACTTGCCACGCCACTCAATCCTAGTGACGATGCAACGTTAGATCACTTGATACTAGATGATCGATATGCAAACAAGTTTGCCCCTTTTGATAGTACAGACATCTATCATAAACCCGGTTATCAACTTCTCTACACATCTATGACCGGTGAAATTAAATACCCTATGTTATACCTTTGTCTTGCACAATCCATTCCATCTCCTTCAATGTTGATGCAACACATGCACCAACCAATCACCAAATGATATGATCCACTTTATATCATTACGTGACCGTATTGGTTCATCAATCTTGACTTCACTTGTTTTTCACCGTTGTCTTCGTCGATTGACGCTAAGTCTTGCTCAAGCTTCACCGCCACACGGTCCATCGCTCCAAAGCCTCTGACTTGCCCTTCACTCTTGCAACCGGTCCATCAAGCTAAGTCATGTCTTGATCTTCTCCATCTTGATTACATGACTCCATATCATGTCTTATATGCAATAAGCTCCTTCATCATCACATGCGTGAGCTTTACAACATATTTGAGCCATCATCACCGTCATGGCATATATTGCTCGCACACATGTACCTGTGGACTAATCATCTGTGTATCTCACTTAAACACATTAGTCCACCTAAGATTATTACTCAATTACCAAAACCAAATAAGGACCTTTCAATACCCCAGCGCATAGCGGCGACCGACATCCCTGCTCCTGCCTGTGGTTGTGCCGAGCACCTCAACCCCTATGGCTACCACCTACAATGATGGTTTTGGGGATGAGATGAAGCAGCTAGAACCAGCGCTCCATCAAGCTCCTTTCTCATCCTCCGTTTTTAGACAAGGTCCACCACTGCTTTGGAAGACAACCCTCCATCATAAAATATACAAGTATAACTAAATTTGTGGTAAATCAAATTGCATAAGTTAATTTAAATTATAATAAATATATTAATATTTTACCATATCAAATGAGTATCACTATGGAACATACTCCCCCTGTCCACAAAAGAATCAAGAATGCAATTATGGGATCCGTGCCGGTCAAGTTTGCTCAAGTTTGACTAAGTTTATAGTAAATATTATTATCATTTATGTCTCTAAATAAATTTACTATGAAAATATATTCTATCACTAATCTAATAATACTAATTATGTATTACCAATGTTAATACTTTTTTTTATATAATTTTGATCAAAGTACAAATGGTTTGACTTCTCGAAAAGCGAGAATTACATTCTTTCATGGACGGAGGGAGTATCTATTATATCTTAGTACAGTAACTTTAAAAGTGGTCATTATAGTTAAGAGATTATTAGAAAGTAACCTACAACATTGAATTCTATATATGATGATCTAATAACTTATATTAAACAAATGATACATACCTAATATAATCAATAAATATTAAATTCAAACTAATAAAAGCAATTTGATTTACATACGAGTTCAAAAATATGCCTAAATAAAGAGTCCATGTAAAACAAAATTATACTAGTAAAAACAATTTTTGAATGAAAAACTATGAAATGTTAATAGTTTGATCTACAAGTGAATTTAAAAATACCTAAATAAAGAGTTCATATACATTATAATTATTAAATTGCTAATCTTCAATTAAAGTTTATGTAAAAAATAGTTTTGATTTCTATATGTTGGAAAAGGCACCTAAATAAAAAATAGTGTGTTGCTAAATAAAGTTTACAAATAATCATCTCTTCACTTTTATTTAAGGGTTAAAAATGCAGTGTTGATCCTATAGATTTATACTGTAACAACCTATCTACCATAAGATATAGTAAAAAATAAATAAGACTTCAATGCAAATAGAACATGTATGAAAAGAACTACTCCCTATGATCTAATTTATAAGGTGCAATTTGGCATGGCACAATTTCATAAATTGACTTTGACCATTTATTTGTTTATATTATACTTTCTCCGTCCTATAAGGCTGTAATATAGTGCATTCTAGAAAATTTAAGACAAATTAAGAGAGAACATAAAATGCGTATGTACTCTCATTTTATTTCCTAATCAGATGCTATTATCAACGTGATTAATGGTGATTGGTTGATAAATAAAAAGTATTTAATTCAAAACTAGTTTTGTTCTCTAGAATGCATTATATTAGAGGATAAATTTTGAATGCTAGAATATTACAGGACAGACTGACAGATGGAGTATTTTTTATGATTATGGATAGTATGTTGGATTATAAATTTAATTATATTAACTTTGCATTGTAAGAGTTAAAAAATACTTCTAAGTTAGAGATTGCAAAGTATGAATCTTCATATGTGTGATTGCCCCTTATACACTGGACCGAGTAGCAGTGTAGAATTCAATCAACATTACCAGTGGACTTTGTTATGGTAATAAAACAAAAAAGAAACCTATAAGGATATAAAGAGACTTTTTGCGCTGCTAAAAAGCATTTCAGAAAAATCAGTAGATCAAAAAATGATTATGTTTTTTTGGAACGTGATTATATTTTTTTTGAGGGGAATATTTTTTTCTTACATAACCACTTCAGGAAATAGCTAATTTCTCAACCTGCAAAACGTGGTTCTAATTTTGGACCGATACCATGGTTCATGGGCCACGAGAATGGACGGAATCACGGACGGCCCCGTCACACTCAGACTCAGGCAGCGTTTGGCTGAGAGTTAAAGTGGGGTGGGATGGTCCTGACTCTGATTTGTAGGATGGGACGACTCCATTCTTTGTTTGGTTAAGGAGAGATGTGACGAACCTGTTTTCTATTTAGATCAGAGACAACAAAAGTGGAATTAGCTACTGACAAGTGGGACCCAATTGTTAGTTTTTTTTTAATTTTTCTTCTTTTCTTTTTCCTCTCCTTATCTCTTCGATCGCAACCGCGCCCTGAGCTCGCCCTGCGCCCACGAGGCGGCCCGCGAGGCGGCGGCGCTCGCCCACGAGGCGCCGGCGCTCGGCGGCCAGCGAGGCGGCGTGCTTGCGCTCGCCCACGAGGAGGCCCGCGAGGCGGCGGCTCTCGCCCGCGCGGCGGCCCTCGACCCCGCGCCTCCTCCGTCTTCGAGCTCCTCCGTCGGCGACCTCGCCGCGCCTCCTCCGCAGCCCTCGACCCCGTGCCTCCTCCGCCCCGTGCCCCGGCCCTACTCCGCCCATGCCTCCTCCACTGGAGCTCGCCGGGGCCGGGCACGGCAGTGCGCGGCAAGGCCGCAGGCGAAGCTCGCCGGGACCGGTACAGGAATCGGTCGAGCGTGTGGCTCCTCTCTCTCCTCTTCTCCACGTCCGGCGCGGCTCCTCTCTGCGACCTCGTCCGCGTCCGGCACCTCCGTCGCTCGCTCATCCCCCTGGGACGGACCCGTCCGTGAAATTTTGGGGGACGGGGTCGCCCCACATCTCACGCGAATATTCATGTGGAGGACGTTCTGGCTCCACCTCACCTCCGAACCAAACAGAACAGAGTTGATCGCGGAACCATCCCACCTGGTCCTCCCAATCAAACACACGGTCACTCACTCACACTCTAGCATTCTAGGCCCAACCCCACCCTGCACTCGGCCTCGGCAGTCACGCACTCTGCGTGCGGCGTCGAGGACTGGGAGGTTCCTCCTACCTTGCTTCCGCGCCGGATAGAAACGGGGGAGGAGGTGTTCGAACCCCCAAATTCCAAACCCTACATTCCCGTCCGCCGCCGTCCGGCCTTCGCTGGGCGCACTCGTCGCCGTCGCAGCATCCCGCCCCTCCGCGATCGTCTCGAGGTGAGCGCCACGCTTCCGTCCTCCGCCCGAACCCTCTCGAAACCCGCATTTCACTTCGGTTGCGCAGTGCATTTCTCTCCCGAAAAATGCTGATAAAACAAAAAAAAAATCTTTGCTATAACCGTGGATTGATATCGTTTTAGCGCGTTTCGGGAAGGCGTTTGTTGCGGCGCGATGGAGCTCTCGAAGCAGGCGCGGGGCAGCGGGCCGGCTTCGCGACCGTTACCATCGGCGGCCCTCAATTCCAAGCAGCCCGCGAACCACGCCATGGTTGGCCCTGGCAACTGGGGGGCGCAAGTGCCAACCAGCGCCTACCTGATCGTGCCCATGGGTGGGCAGCCGGCGCAGGTTGGTGCGTCTAGTCCCAACGCGTCGCACCATCCTGGGGCGAGGCCTGTGAGTAGGGTGTCCTTGAGGCCGCCGCAGCAGGTGCTGAGTGTCCAGCCGACTTTGCCAGTGATTCGGGCATCACCAGCTCCGTCTGTTATGAGAAAGAAGGTGGCGGCATCGCCCAAGGTTCAGATGTTGAAGCCTGTCCCATCCCAGGTACCACATGCTAGCAAGGGTTTTGTGCAAAAGGGGCCTCTATTGAAAGCACATCCACAGTTGTCTGACTCTGAGACCGTGAGATCAAAGTTCAGGGAGAATCTAGGTGCTGCCTTGTGTGTGGATTCTGATCAGCAGATTGTGCAGAAATCTGCTGGAAATATTTCAACTTTTAGATCTGCCTGTGAGACAAAGCATGCAGACGGTGGTACATTGCAGAAACCAAGCACATGCATAACCTTGAATGAAGGTAAAGCTGATACTGGTACTGGCCCCAAATCTGTTGGTAGCATAAGCGAACAACATGATACGTTAAGCGGTGGAATTTTGGGATCAAACATGGCCATCAAAGTGAGTAAAGATGCACAGGAACAATCAATACATGTTTGTTTGGAAAATGATGTATCGGGTAACAGCACTGTTGCTTCAGATGAATTTTTGCAACGCCATGGGCCTCTCTGTGCTCCTGACATTGTCGTTGGAGCTTCTGAATCCATTTCACCGTTTAATTCAAAGAGAGCCACAACTTCTGATACTGATGATGGGGCTACTGTACCTCTGAATGAGCCTGAGTTTAAAAGAACAAAGACTTCAGATGGTGTAACATGGGAACAGAAGGGTATAGTTCTAAAGGGGCAATCTTTGGCACTTAGAATTGAAGAGGATCTGTTCAAACTATGTGGAGGGGTGAGTAAGAAATACAAGGAAAAAGGCAGATCACTTTTGTTTAATTTGAAAGATAAAAGTAATCCTGTGCTGAGGGGACGGGTCTTATCTGGTGAGATTACACCCAAATGTCTATGTTCAATGACTACTGAAGAACTTGCTTCAAAGGAGCTTTCGGCTTGGCGGCTGGCTAAAGCTGAAGAGCTTGGTAAGATGGTTGTTCGTCCTAATAGAGAAGTGAACATTCAACGATTGGTGAGGAAAACACATAAAGGTGAATTTCATCTTGAAGTGGAGGAGACTGATAGCATTTCAGTCGACGATGAGCTCAGAGGTGATTTGCTTTCTCATATTCCATCAAAATCTATTGAAGGTCGAATCAAATCTGATGATGGAGTAAGTGTACACAGGGGAGACATGGAACCTGATAACACTGTGCAAGATGGATTTGCTGGGATTGGCAACAGTAGTCTCTTGAGTAATTTAGAATGCGTAGCAAACAAGAAGACTGCTTTCATTCAGGAAAAAGTGCATGACATGAAGTATACAGAGAATCTTCCAGAAATTGTGTGTCTGGATGATTTCATGGAGGCCCCTGATTCTGATATACCCTTGGAATGCCATTCCACTGAAACTGCACAAGATGATCCTAATTTTACTGATAGAGCTTTCCACACGTTGAAGCCAGAGAAAAATCATATAGGGGAGGATAATGCTGCTCCATCAGAGTTCGGATGCACATATGTTGCACCATCACCACAAGATAATTGTCAGGTCGGCATAAGATCACCCAAAAATGGATCAATTCGCATCTTGAGTCCGGCTAAACAACCAAAGGGAGGTTTGTTAATCAAATCTTCCCCTGAAAAGATGGATGCTGAAATACCTGATACTGGATGTGCTATGCAGTCAAAGGCAATTTCTTTATGGGAGGGAACAATTCAGTTAAATTTGTCTTCACGTATAAATGTTGGAGCTATCTTCAAAAGGTTTGTTTTTCCTATGTTGCTTGTAATTAATGTAGGTGATTAACTAAAACAATATAGCTCCCATATTTTAGCCAAACAAAAGAACATTATGATTTATAACTCAGATTAATCCCACTTTTATATATAAGCTTGTATGCCACATTCCATTTTCTAAAAATGCTTGTCCTAACACACATCTTAACATTCTGTTATCATATCCTAACTCCCTCTAATGTTTCTATTTTGCAGTGGTGAAAAGCCATCAACAAATGAGTGGTGCCGCTTTGTTGAGATCAAGGGAAGAGTGAGTCTTACTGCTTTTCAAGACTTCCTTGAACAACTGCCTAAATCCAGGAGCCGTGCTGTAACGGTAACTTATTTCTGTGCTTAGTTTCATATATCTCAAATGGTGATTTTGGTTTTTACTAAAATTAGTATTTATCAGTTGGCCTACATCCTTGTTGGTTTTGAAATATATTCTTTCTCGTAGTTGTAGTAGTTACCTTGAAGCAGTTTTTTTTTGCAACCTTTAATAGGTGCTGAATGCATATTCACCCTGCCTGTCAATTTGTGCTTAGGTTTCAAGTGTATCTTCATTGAAATCAGTGAGTTCACTCACTGCCTGGGAATCCATAAATTGGATGATTGGATGTTACCGTACTTTATCCAGTTCTGATCAACATGTGTTGCACGTTGGAAATTGGATTGTTTCAGTCTTCACACCAAATACATGTTATTATGTTAATGCATGTGCTGTTTTCTGTTTATCCTGTATTTGTTGGCATTGTTTTGCGCCCCCCCCCCCCCACACACACACATATTCAACACCACAGAATGTGCTTTGTTTCTCCTGAGGAGAGTTTGCTCAACCTTGCTATGCACAGCAAATACCGTGCAGAACAGCACATATATAAGTTCTTACAAATAACAAATTGGAATGAACAGAAGCGGTAATGACTTACCCTGGATCATCTAATAACTACCTGGTTACCTCCATTTTTAAATATACTATGTTTAGGACAAGCTAATTAGTTAATTTTAAACTAATTAGCTTGTCCTAAACTTCATATATTTAAAAACAGTGGGAGTATTACAATAAGCATTTTTTGCATTGCAGCTATACTTTTCTCGCCTACTTTAAAATTCAGGACCACCTACTGTCTGTGGGCTCTATGTTTAATTGGTAATTATGGCAGAAATCAATTCCTTGAAATTCAATCTAGAAACAGAGAAGAACCAAGCAACCATGCTCCAAATTGAACAGATAGATGTGCACATCCAAATTGCTTGTCTGGAGTCTGGAGCAAAAGACCAAAACCTCGATAGGCATGCTTCCCAAAAGGAGTACATATAAGTCTGTTAGACCTGATTGGCCCTTGTTAGAGTTAGTTTAATACTATTTTGTAGTAATACTATTTAGAGTTAGGTTGTGGCACTGGAATTTCTTGAACTGCTATTCTTTTTTATCGTAAAACCAAATGCTTTTGACAATGAAGCTGATAATAAATGTTCATACATTCGGAACTTAGAGTGGACCTTTGTATGCTTTTATCATTCATTTATCACTATTTGGTAATGTAGAGTTAACTGGAAAATAAGTAAATAAAACAAAAATAAAATGGAAGGCATTGGTAAGAATATGTACGTTTAGTCTCAGTGTTTGGACTGTCACGGTACTATCTAATCTTACGTGTTGCACTGTATCGGCTTGATTTTGATTTTTTTATCTTTTGGTTTTTACATGTGGAATTTTGACTTTTATGTTAATAAAAAATCAGAACTTTCTCGTGCCTGAACTCGTACCATTTATACTTTAATATCGATTTACGTATATTATTTTCATGTTTAATGCAACCGTTTGCAATCAAATTTCATTTACACCTTGAATAAAAATATAAAATTCTAGAAGTTACATATATATGCTAACTTGGTTACCAAAATTGTCCTGTAGCCTTTTCTTTGGTCTAGCTCTTCAGAATGTGTTCTTTCCTTTTACTATCATTTGTTCTGCAGGTAACTGAGTTGCGTTGGAAGGAGGGTTCTCATGAAAGTGGTCGGCAGCAATTCATGCAGGTCCCTGTTCTCAATTATTATCATCTGTTACCACTTTATATGGGTCCAGCAGTCCAGCTCAACACTAACAACAACGTACATTCCTGCAGACAATTGACTCATATATTGCAGATGAGAGAGTAGGACTCGTAAAGCCTGCTGAAGGGGTGGATCTCTACGTATGCCCTTCTCAAGGGAAGACAGCTCAGGTTCTCACAGATCACCTGCCAAAGGAGCACTCAGGCATCCCAACTGTGACCGGAGGAGTACCTGTTATTGGTGTCTTTGTGTGGCAGAGGCACCGTGTTTGTACCCAAACACCCACAAGGCATGAGGGTTCCACGGTGCAGTCGTCTATGCCCATCTCAAGGAAGCAGCAGGCTGTGATTGCTACTACTTCCGTGCCCATGTCTTCCCAGCTTACCAGACCTGCCTCCCAATTTGTCCACCCCAATGAGCATCATTGCCTTGAGTATGATGCTACCTACGATGTTCCTCCGGGCTTTGGCCAAGGCGTCGTCAAGGATGACAATGACCTTCCTGTATATGACCGTGCTAGCATCTCAAGCAGATCCCTGTCCCCAAATGAAGCTATGCCATATTCCTACGGGAGGCAGCAGCATGGGCAGGCTCCTCCCCCAATGGACCTAGTCAGTCAACTGGTTCGCAAGTATGGAGGAATGTATGATTCAGCCCAGCCCTGGGACCGCAGCCATGACGACTTACCAGAATGGGATCCAAGCTTGAGTGGTCGCCGGTATAATGCAAGGCAGCAGCAGCCTGTGTTGCCATGCCCCTTGTCCCAGGCTTACACTCTGGCTCAGGAACATGCCATGACCGTGCAGTGGCCCTGGAATCACCATGCTGAAGCTCTATCCGTGCAGCCTGGCTGGCAGTCCAGCCCTCAGTGGCAAGACATCCGGCAGGGGACCAGGTTTGTTGTGGAGCCCGACGTGGTTGTGCCCAAGCCGACCTCACTGAGAGGGGCCAGGGTGCCATGGCTTGGAAGTTGAAGCCGCACTAGCAAGTAGTTGATCGTCTCTGGCCCACATCGCTCCGGAAATCCTCCACGGAACTTCCGCAGCCTGTGACAGTTTACGCTAGGGGTTAATCTCAGCGAGGTGCAAATGATGAGGTAAGCGACTTCTCATCAACACTTCAGCCTGGTTCTTTCTGTCGTGGCTAAGCACGGTCGCAGAAAAGAAAAGCTTGTTTCTGTTGTTCTGTGCTGTATTTCTAACCTTCGTGCTGTGCGACGGTTTGGATTTCCATGTCTTGAAATGATGTCCATGTTTGGTTCTCTTTCTCTCTGTAGGAGGAAAATCGTCTGTTTACGGTTACTCCCATTTTTTGGGGGTCATTTACTATGTTGTTATGGTCATTGAGGCCGGTTATCTGAAGGCGGACGTAGGCGACAGCAAAACTGAAGTCCTCCAGGCTGCTCCAGCTCACTGCTCACATTACTACTGTTCGTGTCTAGGAGGCGTAGAGCATCCTCTGGCCCTGGGAACTAGTCAGGCATTGCTCCCAGTCCCAGCTGCCCGCGTGTCCCTGCTAACGTCAACCCGACCTGACGATGCAGGCGCCGGTCCGGCTCCGGCACCACCGCAGAGGAAAGGCGAACGGCCATCCCGCACGCGTCCCTACGACCCCACTGCCTCGCTTTGACACAGCGGCGCTCCACCGACAGATTTTTGTACACTTCCGGGAGCTCAACAAACCGAGATTGCGACGCCTGGACAGGTCCGTTACACCACACATCAACAACCTCCCAGGATGAAAGCAGCGACAAACAACAGATGCATCGCTTGGACTCTTTCTAGCACCATTATTACTGCATCATTCCCAGTTGCTTAAGCAAGAGGGGACAGCGGAAAGTGGTTCCCCACCTGCTCATTTCTATGCTCCTTAATCACAAGTATATACAACATGTAATGTAAAGCGCAACGAATTTCCATCGGTAGAAGGAAGTCGAAGGAAGAATAAACAATACTTCGAATTACAGGCACGCAATTCATGGTGATGCTCGTAGACCGTAGTATCTTTTTTTATCCCCACTCAACTACCCAATCATGGGATACAACAACGAACCAACGAATTAAATTATGCAACTGGATGAATAACAAGTGTGCTACAGCAGTAGTAGTGGCATAATGATCAGTCGAGGCGCATCATGTCCTTGTGGAAGGCGTCGACGGCGTCGGCGGCGACGCACTGCGTGATGAGCCGCGCGCCGGGCTTGTGCGCGGAGGGCCGGACCAGGATGCACGTCGCGATGTAGTCCAGGTTGGTGAGCGGGACGACGTGCACGGGGCAGCCCCACCCGTAGTCCACCTCCGCGAACCCCAGGCGCGACCAGTCCGACACCAGCAGCGTCCGGTAGTCCGACGTGATCCGGTAGGGATCGACCCCGCCGGCGCCGGTGTCCCCCGCGCTCCACCGCGCGAACTCGGCGGGCAGCCGCTTCTTGCCCTCGCGGATGAGCCGCACCACGTCGTACACGGACGCGTCCGACACGGCCTCGGCCGGCGCCGACACGCGCATGATGTAGTAGCAGTTGCCGTAGAACCCGCCCGGGAGCGAGCGGCGCCCCTGCAGCGCCGGGCGCGCGTTCATGGCGAAGCACACGTGCACGGAGGAGCCGGGAGCGAAGCCCGCCGCGCGGGTGCGGGACTGCCACGCCTTGGCGATGAGCACCTCAAACGCGCTGCACCGCTGGCCGCCCGTCTGCTCCAGGAACCGGGCCTTGAAGTGCTCGATGTAGTCCGTCGAGATGTCCATGGCGAGGTACTGCAGCCGGAGCTCCGTCGGCACCGGGAGCGGGCCCACCGCCGCGCAGGGAGGGTTCGGGATCGCCTCGCGGCCCCAGGCCGGGGCCACCAGCGGCGCCGCGTGCCCACGCGCCATGTCACCGACGGCGGTCATGAACTGCGCCGCGCCGGGCCCGTCCGCCACCGCGTGGCTGAACCGGAACCCGACCACGAAGCCGCCGCACGCGAACTGCGTCACCTGCATTCAGGAATGGACGGCAATCGATCAGTCAAACGCCATGGCCGACGAGCCGTTGACTTCTCTGTTCTCTCAAGAACCAACCAATTGCTTCCAGAACGCACGCAAACGGGACACTAGGAAGGAGAAGGATTTGGTACCTGGACAAGGAGGATGAGCGAGTCCTCAGGGGGGGTCAGATTCGGGGGATAGCTGGGGTGCGGAAGGAGCTCGTCCTTGGGCACCATGAGCGGGTACTCGAGGTAGTCCACGTCCTCCAGGGTGCAGCTGGCCGCGGCCTCGATGAACCACACGCCGTCGCCGGTACAGTCCACCACCAGCTCCCCCCTCGTCCGAGACCGCCAGCCTCCCGGCGATGGGGTAGTAGCTCACCAGCGCGGCGGCCAGCGCGCGCTCAATGGCCCTGGCGGGCGCCTCCGCCTCCGCGTCCGGGTCAGCTCGGCCCTTGAAGACGTGGAGGGACTCGATGAGCGCGCGCTGGGTCGGGTAGCGGTCGAGCCAGGACAGCGGGAGCTGGCCCCGGGGCGTGGGCGCCGACGGGGCCACCACCCGCTGCGCCAGGCGCGTCACGGTGGCCGCCGCACCCGCGCTCCTCATTTTGGTGGCCGCTCGCTCCCGGTGAGGGATCTGGGCCGCGGCGGCGGTAGACTGGCGGTGGTGGGTGCGCGCGCTGGCTGCTGGCTGGCTCACCTGGGAAGCAAGGTACGACCGGTACCGGGTTTTATAAGGTTTTTGGTAAAATCGTGGTGTTGCCGCTACGACTAGTTGTTTGCGTCGGCCATGAGTGGGTTTGAAAGGGATTGCCCACCGCACGATCCAAAGGTGAAGCAACTAGATGTAGCCATTGCGCATCTAGGAGCTATCTCGAGCTACTTTGGAACATGCTTGTAAATGCCTTGCAACACTAGTTAAACCTGTACTTAGTTTGGTTACTCGGTGAGTTAGTTCACCTGGTTTGAGTCTTCGAATAGAAATGGTGCTTGCTTGTATTATTTGTTATTTCTTTTTCAGCCAGTAGAGCATCTCCAATAGTTCACAAAAATTAGTTTACAAAATTAATTAATTTGTCAAGTCACTAAAAAAAATTGTGGTATTTGTTAGGTTCCTCTAAATGTTTTCAAAAATCTCACTACTAAAAAATAAAAAATTAGTCCCACATGATGGATTGTTGGCGGGCCACTTCATCGCCACGGCCGCCGCCAGTTGCGTCACTGCCGGCCCAGTTAATAAGCCTTAGAGCGCTAGCTAAATACATAAGTGAATCATGATTCGTAAGTATCTCAATTGGTCCCTTGCTATTTTTCAGTTCTTTTTTAATATACATTAGGCTCATAAAAACGTTGAAACAGGCTTGCAGTCACTAAGCCCAAATGAATCGATACATTTTTCACATAGTGCGACTACAGAATTGTAACATAACCATTGGTTTCTCTTAGCAGCTGATATTAAGAATAACATCAGCCATTCCTCAATCCTTCGTCTCAAAATTGTTGGAAGTACTACACCTCCTTAATCACATTAAGACCAGGTCCAAATATTAGTACGTCATCAACATACAAACACAAGATCACATCTTCACCCCACCATAACAATGGTACATATTTGTCAGATTTATTCACAGCAAAGCTAGTAGATATTAAGGTTCTATCAAACCTCTTATGCCATTGCTTAAGTGCTTTCTTCAGACCATACAAATATTTTCATAGTTTACATACCATGCCTTTCTTGACTATTTGTTATAAACCCATCTAGCTGATTCATATAGATCTCCTCCTCTAAATCTTCGTTTAGGAAAATTGTTTTAACGTCATTCTGATCAACGAGTAGACATGAGGGTGCGGTGGTTCTGTTGACGTACACACAAGGCTCAGGCGTCCGCACCATTATATACGTGAGCGGTGGAGAACTTACGTACGTGAGAGGAGGAAAAGACAGAGAGATGGAGGATGCACCTGGACGCTGCGAAGTTACCGGGATGGAGGAGTGATCGCATAGTAATAGACAGAAACTCCCACGGTGATTAATCTGCATCTCCAAGTTCTCTAAATCCCTTAATAATCCTTGGTTTTTAGCAAAACGAGAAAAAAAACATCTCCAATAACTCTTAAATCTTCATCCTAATCTTTTAGAACTTAGAAAAAGTCACCATATTTCGTGTAAAGTTACACGCTTCCGAGTCACGCGTATCTTCTCTCCCCACGCGTGTTTGTTGACCAATCTAAAGGTGGAAGAACATGTAAAGAATAAAGAATAGTAAAAGGTTCCCGATGCAAATATACAAGAGAGAAACAATTTATAAAAGTGGTAGGATAATTTAGAAATAATATATGATTCCTGATGTAAAATTATATTTTTATTTTAAGAGTAGATTATTAGAAACTATTGGAGATGATCTTATTTATTCCTCCTAGTACCTTTTTATGTGTTGAAAAACAACGCATTTTTTAGGAAGACAAAATATGATACTCTTGAAGATGTTCTAACTGTCCATTTTATAGCTCCATCAGACAGTCGAAGTGGCGGTACTGAACTGGCGCTCCGGTTCAAGCACCAAGCGCGTGCATTGAATTTTGCAAACGTTTGAACCGGTATAACCGTGTGTTCCAGTCACCGGCTAGATAATTTGTTTACGCCGCGGCACGTACGTAGCATTTGTCAATGCCCCTGCGTGGCAGCGCGCGTGTCTGCGACTCTGCGTGTGCGTTCTGGTCTTCTGGAAGCAAAGCTGGCGTGCCCATCACCGACACCAACGCATCCGCTATCTGACCTGAGCAGCCAATCGGAGCGAATAATTTCTCCTGGCGAAGCAGTGGAGGCCGTGGAGCCCCCGTCAAAGGTCACGTACGCTCCGGACCAGAGCTCGACGGACTTCATCAGACATTCAGACTAGACGAGAGGTCTCGAAATCTTCTTGCTTTTGCTCCGATTTTCTGGTGTCTTCTCGGTTAAGGGAACTAAAAAAAAGCGTTTTCGTTTCCCTCTCGTGGCCTGAAGACAACCATGGCGTCATGGTTAGTTGGAGGAAAATGGCCGGTCACCGCAGCTCACCTTCCTTTCAGGGCCTTACCATTTTTTTTGACTGAAACTGTGGACCAAAGCTCCCCAGAAATATATTAAAACAAACAAAGGCCAAGTTACAAAACACGTTAGCTAGGAGCTAACCAGGACAGAGCCTTACCTTACAAAGAAAGAGCTACCTATCACAACGAACTGAGCCAGAGATCTATTACATGTTGGAGGTTTGGAGCGTAGCGACATACACTTAGGTGGTGTTTAGATCTATGACGTAAAGTTTTGAGGCGTCACATCGGATGTTACATGGGGTGTTTGATACTAGTAAGAAAATAAATTACAAAATCCGTCAGTAAACCGCGAGACGAATTTATTAAGCCTAATTAATCCGTTATTAGCACATGTGTTACTGTAGCACCATATTGTCAAATCATGGCCTAATTAGGTTTAAAAGATTCGTCTCGCAAAGTAGTCGCATACAATTAGTTATTTTTTAGTCTATATTTAATACTCCATGCATGTGTCAAATATTCGATGGGATATGGTGTAAAATTTTGATAATGAACTAAAAAGGGCTTATAAAACAGGCTTTTCCAAGCAGCTATGGAAGGTACATGATTGTTGAAGATATAATCATTCCGCTCCTTCCAGATGCACCAGGCAGCAATAAGAAATACATCCATGAAGAACCACCGTGTAACACTAGAAGTACATTCAAAGAACAGATGCATTGCAGTTTCTTCAACATCATCATGGCAAAGAACATAATTGTCGGGTTCATAAACCCGGGGTCCCTCATGAACCGGCTTCGCAGCTAAGGCTCGGTCCAGCAGACAATGTTGCGAACGACGCGCAACTCCTGGGCCGGCCCAAAAACCTAAACGACAGGCCAGAAGGGCGATCCAATTTCCGACCGGAACGTCTCGCCAAGGAGGAACAACGCTCGCTTCCGACTCCGGCCCGCCACTCCGACCGGAAGGCATGGCCAAGGAGGAACAACGCTCGCTTCCGGCTCCGGCCCGCCTCTCCGACCGGAAGGCCTGGCCAAACACCGCTTCTGGCTCCGGCCCGCGTCTCCGACCGGAGATACACCGAACCTCTGTTTACAGCTCTTCTTCGACCAGCATAGTCGGAGCCGACTGGGACCAACCGACCGGGGACGCCCGCTCGGTGAGGACCAGGAAACGAGCGGAGCAAGTAAGGCAGGACGCTCAAAGTCAACAGCAATACCGATGACCGTACCCTGCACACCTGCAGGACAGTACCAACAGAACGTGTCAGAGAGTGCCTTGCAACCTTTCAGGCATGTCAGAAACTAAGCAGTGTTGTGGGCGCCGACATTTGGCATGCAGTGTTGTGGGCGCCCGCAAAACTCTCATACCGGACGAGCACGGTAAAACCCCTTGCATGCCTCTGGGCATCAACAGTATGGCAGGCACCGACGTCTGTCATACCAGAAGAAGACGACACAACCTCCCACATGCATCTGACATTAACAGTGTTATGGACGCCTACAATCATCTTGTACCCGACGGCGTGGGCAACAAGACTTAGCATACGTACACACACACACTCTCTCTCCCACTTGTAAGGCCATCCCCTTCATTTATAAAAGGGGATGCGTTCTCTCCCAACAGGAAAATCAGTCCACAACAACTCAAACAACACACACGATCTGAACAACCAAGGATCCCAACGAACAACAAACGTTCGAACACTTAGCACATAGCGGAGCTCCCATCACTCTCGGTCCTTCAGACCAGAGTCCGACCGGACCTCTTGTACCCCCCATCTTTCTCCCTTCCGTTTGTAACCCCACAGCAAACTTTGAGCACCCGGGCTCAGGAATAAAGTCACCGACCGACTCAAACTGGACGTAGGACACGTTGCCTGAACTAGTATAACCCCTGTGTCATTGAGTGCTAGGCCATATCCGTTCACAACGTACGGCAAAACTACAAGTATTTACGTGTTGGTCATTTTCTGTACCGACAGTTGACGCCGTCCGTGGAGAGGACGCTGTATGTTCACACTTTTTTTGTCATCGGATGGCCCACTTTTCCGCCATCTTCGCCATGGCGGGCTCAAGCGATACGACTCGCTTCGGCTCGCTGGGGTTTCCCGCACTCCCACCTGTTGGGATGTGGGTTCCACCCGTCTTCGAGCTGTCCTAGGCCTTCCTCTTCGGAAGCCTGGACTTCATCGCCGACCGGCTCGGCGTACTACACCTCCACAAGGAGGCACTTGTTCTGGCGCCCATCGGATCGGCGCCCTCCATCGGCTCCGGGACACACGACAACTTCAATGACGAGGCACCTGCGCTTCATTCTGAGCAAACGCTCTGCTCAAACCCCGTTATGAGTAATGTACATGCTATTATTTACTCGCTATTTACTATCTTTCGCCGATTCTCCGGATGGACCCCGTTGTCCCTGTCGTGATCGCCATGCGACTGGTTCCCCTACGGCCTCGCGTCCCCCGTAGATGCGTATGCTCGAGGGCTCTGAAGGTTGCTGGCACCACCCCCTCTCACATACGAATTCGTGGGCATGGCGAGCCACGCTCCTACCTGTTTCCATGACCTC